GACACTTTTAGGATTATGGGCTTGAATCCCACTTCAGTTGTTTGTGGGCCGATAGGTAACACTGTCATTTTACACCTTAAGGATTATGGGTTTGAATCCAAGTTCCTCACTCTGTGTGATCTGGTGGATGATAATGTTACCTAATGTCTTTAGGATTACGGGTTTGAATTCCACCTCCACTTTGTGTATGGGGTGTTTGCATGTTCTCTCTGTCTTGTGCGAGCTTCCTTCCTAAGTCCAATGACATGCATTCATTATGATTGGCATCTATAAGTTGCCCATAGTGTCAGGGTGTATGTACAAGCCACCCTGTCACTCTGTCTGTAATAAGCAGCCACAATAGCAGTTGCACAACTAATGTGGAATTTTCTCCAATAGTCATATTAGTAAATCAGTCATGTTCCATTTCATTGTTATTTTGGCAAGTTAGTAAAACTTTTAATCATTATAATGATAAATGAATAATGTTCTCTTTAATGGTTAGACTGGTAACTCAGTAACGTGTGATGATACCACATAAAAGCTGAGTATACATTCACTGACCACGTAATTAGGTACACCTACAGTATGTAACTGCTCATTGACGCAAATATCAGCCAATCATATGTTAGCAGCACTATGTATAAAATCATGCCGATACAGGTCAGGAACTTCAGTTAATGTTCACATCAAACACCAGGATGGGGAAGAAAGAAGATTTTAGTGACTTTGAACCTGGCATGGTTGTTGGTGCCAGACAGGCTGGTATGAGTATTTCAGATACTGCTGATGTACTAGGGTTTTCACACACTTTCCGGTTAACCAATAATGGGCTGAAAAAGAAATAACATCCAGTGAGCCTTGGTTCTTTGGGTGAAAATGCCGTGTTGATGGTAGAGGTCAGAAGAATGGCCAGACTGGTTCAAGCTGATAGAAAGATGACAACAACTGAAATAAGCACTCGTGGAGGATATTTTGCTGCCACACTTTAAGCCCCTTACTTTCAGCTGAACATTGTTAAAATGCCACAGCCTACCTGAGCATTGCTGCTGTCCATGTCCACTTTGTGCAGGATAACCTGCCGTGTCTCTAAGCTCATAACATGTCACACTGCTTTCTTCAACATGACAATAAGTTTACAGTCCCTTTAGGATGTGGTGGGGTGGGAGATTCGCATCGTGAAGATGCAGCTGACAAATCGGCAGCAGCTGTGTGACACCATCATGTCGACATGAACCAAAGTCTCTGACGAATGTTTCAACTGTCTTGTTGAATCTATACCATGAGGAATTAAAGCAATTCTGAAGGCAAGAGGGGGTCCAGCCCGGAACTAGCATGGTATACTTCATAAAGTGGCCTGTGAGGGTATGATGCTGTTAATGGCTTATACAACACAGATAAAACATGCCAATTTGACAGAATGAAAAAAGCTCAAATGATTTCCTATTCAGTTATTCACTCTTTCAGTGTTTCCCTCATTATATATAGACTGCTCAGCCATTGAAAATGGGAAAGTCCTTCAATAACATTAGCCATACAGAATTACAGTAAAACCGGTCTAAGTCGACACTCGCGGGACCAGCTTAAAAGTGACAACTTAGAGAATTGACGAGATATACCTAAGTCGACACTTTGGGATGTCTATCTCGCCGTTTTGTCGACTAGTAAATATAACTCGCCGTTTTGCCGACTTATAAAGTCGACACTTCGACGACTTATGTCTATCTCGCCGTTTTGCCGACTAGTAAATATAACACCATACCTCTACTACACCGCACTATACACGCGA